TCTTTTTGAGGATTCCTACCCATACCACCATCATCTTACTTTGTTCCCATAAAACACAGCATGGTTAAGTATCCTAAATTCGACGGCACTAATTTCAAGGGTTGGGCTTACCGTTGCTGTCAATTCTTTTGTCAATGAAACACTTGTAGAACATTGCATTCAGCTTTTAAGTATTCACTTGGAGAAGAGAGCTTTGCAATGGCACCTTGCCTTCATTAAACAGAGGCAACTCTCTGACCTGTCTTGGGTTGACTATTTTTGTGAGATAGAGGCCAAGTTTAGGGACATCAAGGATGATAACCCAATGATTGCCATTAAAATGCTTCAAATGCATGACTCAGTGGAAGAATATGAAGAGAAATTTGATGAATTGTTCATGGAGGTTGATTTATTAGAAGAGGCAGCCATGAATTGCTATATTGGAGGCTTATGATCAGATGTGCAGCACAGCCTTTTGAGCCTCCAACCCTCTTCTCTGGCAAACATGATGAAACAAGCTTGCTATCAGATGGCTGCAATTCGTACGTGCCATGATCATGCTCCTAGTGTGATGACAATTCACAGATTGTTTCCCTCATTGTCCGTCTAGACTCTCTTATTGCGATTGCAAGTTCCCTCCCAATCAGGTTATAAAAATGACTTGGTTTCAAAGGTCACGTTCTTTATGAGTCCATTACAAAATAAGCTCAAACCAAACCCATCCACTAGTCTAGACAGCACAGCTTCCTTTAGGCCCTCAAGGCAAGTTTCAAAGCATGAGATGGATCAGAGGCATTGCAAGGGATTGTTATTGATGTGGCAACAAGTTCAATAGTGCATATAGGTGCCGAGATTCCTAGGTCTTTTCTTTCCTTGTTGAAGATGAAGTTGACATGTTTGAAGATGCCCAAGAGGAATTGGAACCCGATGAGCCCACAAGCACTATCAACGCCATGGAAGAAAGGCAAGGTACTTTGACCTTGAGGTTATTTGGCCATGTCAAAAGGCAGAAGGTAATCATTTTAATAGACATGGGGAGTACTCACAAGGTGGTTGATTTTGGGTTAGCCAAGAGACTTCGATTGCTAGTTCAGGAACAACAAGGGGCTTGAATTACAATGCTTGATTCTCGACAATTCTTAATTACAAATGTTGCTTGAATATGGAATGGCAAATGGATGATTCTTTCTTCTCTTTTGACTTTTTGGTTATGAAAATTAGATCATATGATTTAATTTTAGGGGCTTAATAGCTTAAGATCTTGGGTCATTTCATTATGGATATGACTGAGAAATTATTTGAATTTAATTAGGATGGCAAGCTTGTTGAATTGAGGGGACTTAGGTACAACGTACCAAACTCTATTTGTAAGAACACATTTTGAATCGTAATATGTTGATAACAAATTATCTCTACTTAATTCATTCTTCCCATCAACTATAGGCTTAATGTCCACCAAACTCCACTCTCTCTGACAGTGAACAATCTCAGTTGCAAGATCTCTTAGATTGTTTTCAAGATGTGTTTGTTGAACCTTCAACTTTTCCCCTTTCTCATTCATTTGACCACGTTATGCTCCTCAAGGGCAATCAACCCATCACTTGTAAGCCTTATCATTATGGCCTTATTTAGAAAACTGAGATTGAGAAACAAATCCAGCAAATGCTCAGCAATAGGTTTATTCGAGAAAGCAATAGTTCTTTTGCAGCTCCTATTTTTTTAGTCTAGAAAAAGAATGGAATGTGGCACTTTGATGTTGACTATAAAAGATAGAATGATGCCACAATTAAGAGCAAATTTCCGATCCCAGTCATAGAGCAGCTTTTAGATGAATTGACTGGGGCTTAATTTCTCTCTAAGTTGGATTTGAGAGTCGGCTATTACCAAATTAGGACGCGAGACAGATATTGCTAAGACAGCCTTTCACACTCATGAAGGGTGGTATGAATTTATGGTAATGCCATTTGGCCCCACTAATGCTCCCACCACATTTCAAAGTCTAATGAACTCAGTTTACAAACCTTTCTAGTGCAAGTTTATTCAAGTCTTCTTTGGCGATATACCAGTTTACGACAAACATTGGACAACTCACTTGGAGCATTTGGAGACAACTTTGTTGCTCTTACAAAAGCATAAACTCTTTGCTAAGGCCTCTAAATGCACTTTTGTTGCAAGCCATATAGATTCTCTTGGCCATTTCATCATAGTTAATAGGGTTCAAGCAGGCCTAAAGAAGTTGTACTCAATTGCCTCTTGGCTTGTTCCCTCTTCAGTTAAGGAATTGTAGGGTTTTCTTGGCCTCACAGGGTGTTATTGACGCTTTGTCAAGAGTTATGGTTTTATTAGCAGCCCCTTAACTAAGTTGTTAAAGAAGAATGATTGTTTTGTTTGATTTTCAAGCTCAAATTGCTTTTGAGTCCCTCAAGAATGCCATAATCTCTCCTCCGGTGCTTGCTCTGCAAATTTTAATGAGACCTTTGTGATTGAGACTGATGCTTTGGGGCACAGATTGGGAGTGATATTATCTCAAAATGGCCGTCCTTCAACTTTTGCTGGTAAGGCACTTTCTGCATACAAGAGACAATTATCTGTTTATGAAAGTGAATTGTTGGCCATCGTTTTTGCTGTCAAGTAGTGGCGCTCTTATCTTTGGGGGCGAAAATTCATCATCAAAGTAGACCATTTGCCTTTGAAACATCTTTTAGAGTAGTTTGATTTAAGCCAAGAGCAATGTAAGTGGCTTCATATTCTATGGGGCTTAGACTGTGATATAGTTTGTCGCAAAGGTTGTGACAATACAGCAGCTCGCGCTCTCTCTAAGTGCTTTGATGGGGATTGTTTAGCTATTTCGATACCCATTTTGCCATTATATGAGAGAGCGTAGGATTCTTGGCTTCTTAATGACCATTTGCAGCAACTCATTAAGAGTCTAGAAAATTATCCCTTGTTTAGCCTATGTACTTGGGAACATCATTTGCTGAAAACGAAAGGGTAAGCTTGTTGTAGGGGTTGATCATGGACTTAGAGAAGATTTGCTTAGATTTTTTCATGCCGATGGCATAGGAGGACATTCAAGTATGACTCCAACTTACAAAAGACTTGCTTCTTTCTTTTATTGGAAGGGAATGGAGAGAGATGTTTACAATTATGTGCGTCAACAAGCTAACAAACACAAATCCAAATGTCAATTTGCTAGGGGGATTTGGTTTTCCTTAAATTGCATCCCTTTCAAAAGAATTTGTTGAATAACTCTTCCTTGCATAAGTTGGCTGCCTGTTATTTTGGCCCATCAAAGTGGTGAAACGCATTGTGGCTGTTGCATATGAGTTGGATTTACCTCCTAACACTCAAGCTCATCCAGTGTTCCATGTTTCTTTGCTGAAAAAGTTTGCTAGTCCAGTTGTTTCTCTTAATCCCACCTCGCCAATAGTTGATGATCAAGGCCAATTTATGTTAGAGCCAGAGGAAATTTTAGGCCGAAAGATTGTTAAGCACCATAATTTACATGGGACTCAAGATTCGCTGGAAGTTCTCTCAACTTGAAGATGCCACTTACGAAGACCTTTCAGCTATCAAGCAACAATTCCCTCAATTCAATGTCGATGCACTTGCTGTTACTTCCACCCTTGTGGACAAGGATTTTTTTTTTTTTTTGTTTTGGTGGGGGGAGTATCGTTACATGTTATTGCTTTGTTTGGGGCTTCATTGTCTGATATGAAAATAATAAAAGCATATGTCATTTAGATGGTTATCGATTATTGAAGGTAGTTAGGTCATTTAGCTGTCTTTTAATGATTTTACTCAGCATTCCTATAAATATTAGGGCGCCTTCTCATTTGTAAATAGCCTATCGACATAATGGAAGTCTATTAATTAGAATTTGTCTCTCTACTCTCTCTAGTTATCTCTATCTATTCTGTTTCTCTCTCTTTCTCAATTCTTCCTTCTATCTCTTCTACTTTCTTCTCTATTTTCTATATCATCGCCTTTATGTTGTTATGTTGTTGTCTTTTTATGTTGCTGAATTCTAAATAGTTATTGATGGTTTAAGGCCTAACCTCTTGTGCCATGCATCTAGGTTTAGGGTATAGGCCGTACTCTGCCCCCTTGCCCCGTTTGTGTGAAATGAATTAGCCTCCTCCTACTCCATCATCTTCTTCTCTCTTAACAACTGCCTTTCCTTGCTTGTTCTGCAGTGGAAACTTCATATACATGAGCTTGAGAAGGAAATGAATATCAGTCCTTCCATCAAATATGTTCTTTACCCGGTAGGTAAGCTTTTTTGGATATGCCATTGAATCTTTGAGAGGAAATAAGATACTCACTCAATGCTGGAAATTATGTGTATTTTCTGTCAATTCTTCATCAACCTGTCAAGCAGTAATTAGTTATCTTGCAATGTCGTTTCTGATTTTGCAAATCATCGTATCTAGTTTCTTTCTGGATTGTAATAACCAGGATGACTTGTATGTGTTGTTTGCCCAGCATGATCTTAATAATTGATTCTTGATTTTCCTATCAAAACATTATTTACTGGATCAAATGTTTATTGAGTGGATAATTGCTGCATGTAGGATGACAGGAGTGCGAACTGGCGATTGCGGGCAGTGGCAGTTTCACCATATCGATTTGACAGCAGAAAACCTTTACCTCATCCTTGGAGAGGTTTGGAAAATGACAAGCTTTCTGATGTTACTGGAATCCCAGGTTGTATTTTTGTGCACATGAGTGGTTTTATTGGAGGAAATCGACTTATGATGGAGCTCTTGCTATGGCAAGAGCATCTTTAAAGGATTGGCTAAAGCAAATGTGAGAAGAATGAAGCAACCATTTTCCTTTTTTCTTGTGCCATTTTTCTTTGTTTTTAACATTGAACTCCTCAATGGGATTGACAGAAATACAATGTGAAATGAAACTCAAATTTTTTAGTGCAGGCATGCTTATGTATTTGGAAAAAATGACCCCTTTCCAGCATAGGCTCGGGATGCAATCTCAATGTATTCTTGTTATCGGTCCATGCATTCTCAAATTACTCCCTAGCTTATATTCAATAATAAGATATAACATCACCAGTACTTCTCATGAATAAATTTATCTGCATCCTCTTGGGGTTCAAAACTAAGCTCTGCTTCAATCACATTCCTGGCAGTAGCTTCATTCCTCTGAAACAACTGGCAGTCCCTCTTTTATCCATGTGTAAAGACCACCTTCTAGATGGAAGACATTGGTATAACCGTTGAGGACTAGCAAGTAGGCTGCTATCAATGATCTGTAGGAAATATCAAATTTAGCCATCTCACGATCACTAGAAGTTAAAAGGGCTTATGATTGAGCACTCTTGCAGCTTAATGGCCTGTTTCAGTTATTATATCTTACTTGCACCAAACTTGAAAACAAAACTATCACCAATCAACTCTGGCATAAGTCATAATTGGGGAATTCTTGGAGCAGGAATTGAAATCTAGGGTAGCAGTAGAAAGAGACAGTATGAACAAACACAGTAAGGTTTAATACCTTGATTGTTGACCTTCTGGTAGATTTTGGGATGGTTTCATGGTGCCCCCTGTTGAGCAGGCTACAATAATCTTGGCATTCTTATCTATTTTTGCTTCCACACCTGTTAGCATAATCATACAATAGTTTCATCCAACTCATTTCAGAACGCGGTTTCTTAGAAGTGGGTTAGTAAGGAAACGGTATCTTACTCTGTATGAACTCGGGGTTCTCTTCTGTCCCTGCAAAGATACCGAAAAATGCAAATGCAGCACGCCTGGCTATGTCCCAAGCTGTCCACTCCTTTATAAGTCTGTATATTTGTACATTGATAGCCCCGGGAGGATGGGCCTGCGCTAATAACCATACAAATTAGAATAGAAACATCAAAGAGACAGACAAATGATGCAAATTTAATGAAGCTATAAGCGGAGAGTACGACTAAATTACTATTCAGCTTGAAAAGTTCTTTATTCTTGCCGGTGTAGACATCGGGAACACCCCTTTCACTAACCTCTTTGAACTCAGCTTCTGGTCTAACGTCAAGGATCACGAAGTTATTTTCTTTCTGAAGGCGCAGGGCTTCCTTGGCATCCATACTTCTTACCTGCAATAGCATACATATTTGAGTCTTTTTATGGTTATAACACCTTTGAATATTTAATCTCATGGTTGTAGTAGATTGTCAAAGTATAGCTATCTGCTTTAACCAGCTTATTGTGCCATTGGAAAACAAAGGCGGGGAATTATAGATGCCAAGGAAAAACACTCTTGAAGTATCTCCTCGCTTTGATATGAGAATGTTTTACTCCATTTAAACTTAAAGGCACGGAAGCAACTACTGTAAAAGAATGAAACTTCGTGTCTGTGTGCTTTAGGGAGTAATATATTTGAGAATAACAGGGATGGAGATTTACTCTTTTCTGCAGCAGAACTTCTCGCTTTTTCTTCCACTCTTCCTCGGCTAAAACCTCCGAAAAGTGAGGGAAATGAGCGGATTAAGGTTCATGCATGACATCTTCAAGGCCCTAAAACATTCGGATTTCAGTAAACTCTAAACACGTACCTGGTGATTTCGCTTGTTTCGTGGCTGCACTTCGGATTCTTAACCCTTTCGGATTATTCTGTGGGTACAATCTTTGCCTAGTGGATTTCTGTGATCTCACTCGCGCCCACAATTTATGGTCATTTGTGGGTTCTATAGAAGGTACCAATGGCGAGGAATGCATCTGGGGTTGCACAGACGACGAGGAAGAGTACTGAAGAGCAACTGATGTGAGAGCAGCCATCGTTTGAAGATTCGGGAGGGCGAGATCGAATTTGGTTCTTCAAACTTCCCCAACTGAAGATTGATATTATATTGGAATTAATGGAAGTGTCTTGCCTTCTGCTCAGTTTTGGGTAGTTTCTAGGAAATGATTAAATGAACACCTGTGGCCCGTGTGCTGTGGATATTTTGGTCTCAGAATCTGAGTTTGTGGTTCGTGTTTTAGGAGTCTCTTCTTATTTAGATATCCTTCACCGTCAACCTTTTGTCTTCTTGTACAAGCAGGATTAGGCGTCGGCTTTTACGCTTCCAATGAGGGCGTGCCAAAGCTGGACCCCGCTTTTTTTTTTTTTTTGATAAACTTGTCACAATGCATTGAGCCTACCTCACCCCAAAGCTCCCCAAAAAGACCTAACCTCTAAGATGCCCACCAAGTCAGCCCAACAAGATGACAAAACCTCTCTTCAGCCCAAAACCCTTGATTGAACATCACCCAAACCTGGGATTAAGATCCGATCAAGTCTCACAATCGGATCCAGCAAACCCAACGACAAGAATAATCACCCCAATCTTGCCGACTTTGTCCTCCATTCAATAACAGGCTTTAGATGGTGAATTCTCTTATGAAGAGATTGTCCCTACGAAGACATGATAGACGATGATGACAATCAAGAACACTCTAACATGGAGTGCTAATTATCATAGATATTTCCTTATGGTTGCTCTGATTTAGAATTGCCAAGGTGCAGCGCAGAATAAATTTCATTCTGTGCTAAAATCCTTTATTCGAGAGCAGAAAATTCAATTTGTCGTCCTTGTTGAGTCGCGAATTTCAAGTACTATAGCTGATAAGGTAATAAGGAAGATTAATCTTCCAAACTCTCATCGTATTAAGGCCTCTGGATTTTCAGGAGGAATTTGGCTCCTCTAGTCCAACCAAATTGAAGTCAAAATCCTTCAAAACCACCGGCAGTTCATCCATGCACAAATTCACCTCTTGAAAGAGGATTTATGGTTCTTCTTCATGGCAATCTATGCTAGTTTGGATTCATCTATCCGCAAACAATATGGGAATATATGACTTCTATTGCACATTCAAGCTGTGAACCTTAGGCCCTAGCTAGTGATTTCAATGCCACTCTCTTCTCTAATAAGCATCAAGGCAGTTTGAACTATTGACACCAAGGTTATCCACTTTTCAAAAACTTTGTGGATAATTTGGGCCTTATAGATGACAACTTCTCCGAACCAAGTTTCACTTGGAGTCGTGGGCTATCTTTTGCTGGGCTGGATAGAATGCTCTTCAACAACACCTGGGCTACTTCATTTCCAAATAGCCATGTTCAACATCTACCTAAACTGCAATCCGATCAAAGGCCCTTAAAGATTACTCTTGGGCTCTATTCCTCAGGAACTCAACAACCAAAGCCTTTTAAGTTCCTTGCAGCTTGGCTAACCCACCCATAGTTCAGCTAGTTGGTCAAAGACTTATGGAACCCTTCCCTCACACTTATGGAAAACATAATGTCCTTCTGTACTGCAGCCTAAACATGGAACCAGTAAGTGTTCAACAATATTAGCCAAAAAAAGAGACATCTCAAAGCTAGACTCTTGGGGATTGATAAAGCAATTGAAGATCGACCTCTCCTCTCACTCCACTACCTAAATAAGATCTAAGCAAGGAATTTGAGACTACCTGCTTTTAGTAAGAACTACTATGGCTCCAAAAATCTCGAAGCAATTGGATTAATTTGGAGATCGAAATACCAACTACTATTACATGAAAGCTAAGCTACATAAAGTAAGAAACAAGATAACCACACTTAAAGATGATACAAGAGTGTGGATATCTGATGACTCATCACTCAACATCATGGCATGCAATTTCTTTACTCATCTCTATACTAAGACTTAGCAATTAGTGGAACCCTATGCATCATGAGGTGTGTTTCTTACTTTATCTGATGCTTTTCTTAACATCTTGAACGTAGATGTGTCACTTAATAAGGTTAGTACTGCTCTGTTTGATATGAATCCCTTGAAAGCCCCTGGCCCTGATGGATTTCATGCCCTATTTTACCAAAGCTAGTGGGATACTGTAGGTTAAACTTTATTTAAAGTGGTACACAATGTTTTCAAAGAAGAGCTCCTAAATCCTGGACTAAATAATACGCTCATTTCTCTAATTCCTAAGGTTCCTAACCTAACAACCATAAGAGAATTTTAACCCATAAGCTTATGCTCCGTAGCCTATAAAGTTGTCATTGAAGTCTTGGCCAACCGTCTCAAATTACTTATGCCAAGCCTCATCCTCCTTTACCAGTCAAGCTTCATCAAAGGGCGAAACATCACAGGCAACATCATTATCACACGAGAAGTAATCCACTCTATGAAGAGCAAACAATACAAAAAGAAATGGTATGCTGTTAGAGTAGACTTCGAGAAAGCCTTTGACAAGCTTAACTAAAGTTTCATTCAAAACACACTCAGCAATGTTGGTTTCCTTATCAAATTCATCCAAGCTGTAATGTATTTCATCACTACCCCAACTATGCAGGTACTCTGGAATGGTTCCCCTTCCCAATGCTTTTACCCATCTTGAGGAGTTCGACAAGGTGACCCCCTATCACCTTATATCTTTGTGCTTTATATGGAAAGACTGTCTCAAGTTATCCATAAGGAAGTCCAACAAGGCAACTAAGACACCATCAAAATAGGTAGAAAAGGACCACCTTTATCGCACCTCTTCTTCACAGATGATCTCATCCTCTTTACAGAAGTCTCTACAAAACAAATCCTTCTAATGCAGGAAGTCATAGACAAGTTTTGTAGAGCATTCGGTCAGGTAGTCAGCCAAAGGAAAACAAGAATCTACTTCTCAAGAAATTTTCTCCGGAAGGGAGAAGAATTAAATTTACAATATGCTAAAATTCAAATCTACAAACTACCTAGGTTGTTACTTAGGGGTTCCCCTACTCCATAATAGAGTAACTAAAAACACATATGGGTATCTCATAGAGATAAAACAGCAGAAGCTCACTAGTTGGAAAACTACCTTCTTTTCTCTTGCAAGTCACATAACTTTTGCCAAAGCCACACTCAGTGCAATCCCTTATTTTGCAATGCAAACAACTATGCTACTAGTTTCTTGCTCTAAGATAATAGAAAAAATCATAAGGAACTTCATCTGGCATACCAACATTCATTCTTAAAAAGTCAATTTAGTCAATAGACTATAATGTGCCAACCTCTAGCAATGGTGCCTACGGAATAAAACTCATAGAACACAAAACCATGCTTTCCTCTCCAAAGCTGGTTTCAACTCACTCACACGGCCGAACAAGCTTTGGGTTCAAATTCTTCAGCCAAGTACAATACCATAAGCATATCTTCCGCACCAATTAGCTTCTCACTTTCGACGAGGGATTGCCAAAGTTTGGCCAGACACAGAACTCAACTCGAGTTGGCATCTAGGTAATAGTGCAAAGATAGCTGGATTGGTGATGTGGGTCCTCTTAAATTTCTTACATATGCTGACATTCCTAAGGCTGACCTTCAAAGGCCTGTGTGCAACTACATCGATGGTTCTGGAAGCTGAAAATGGTCAATCCTTTAAGGTCTCCTTCCTCAAATATATGCCTTAAACAAGATGCTACTACTCCCTCGGCAAGCTGTACAACTCGAGACTCTTGCCATTAAAATCTCACCCCAAATGGTGAGTAATCAATCGCTTCTGCTTTTGCAGCCATACAGGAGTTTAATTGGAACACATTGAGTTCTACTAGAAATGGGTATGGAAATGGCCAGATTGCAATGAATTCAAACTTTCCTCTGGCTTGTGATGAAGAACTGTCACCTCATAAATTTAGAGAGACAATATTGTGGGATGACTGATGATGCAACCTGCTCAAGCTATAATGCTAACACTGAAGATATTGACCACATAATTTGCTAATGCCATGCTGCTTGTGCTTGTTGGAGATTGGTCTTTCTTGAAACCATAATGTCATCATTCTTTACTATGCCTTTTAAGGAGTGGATGCTTAAAAACTTAAACCCACAACTTACGAGTACGCACTAGAGACTTAGATTTGGCACACTCTGCTGGAAGTTATGGACCAATAGGAATAAAAGAATCTTTGTGAATGAAAATGAATCTCCCCATGGTCTTGTAATTTATGTGTGTAACTTAATTGATGCCAGTATTAGAACATGTGATCTGATGGACATCATTGATCATGCTGTTTGATTTCTTTTTTTTTTATCTCCTCCTCTTGTACATATTTGTTTAATGATATTCCAATTCCATCCAAAAAATAAGGGCGTGCCAAATAACCATGGAGGTGGTTGAAAGATCAAACCCTTTTTATCGAAACATTAAAGAGGAAGGTCAAGTGGCCTATGCTGAGGATAGGGTAAGATTTATTATTAGTGTGACAATAAGGAAGAATTATAAAATTAGCTTTATTCAACTAAGTATGGTCAATTATGTGTATTATATTATATTATCATTGTGTTCACCCAACTTATAACCATCTAGCCAACTTTTATTGGCACTTTTACTATATATGTTTAAATCATCCTAAATAATTTTATTTCATTTTTTTTCAATAGATACCACCTTTTTATCTTTTTTCTCAACTCTCAACATTCTCAATTTTAGTTACACCAACTTGTTGTTCATATTGTCCCTTTATCATGGAATATTTATTATTGCATAGCATTTGTGGTCTTATAATAATTTACTAAAACTTCTCTTAGTTTATTTGGTATTTTTGTTTGCTAATAACTCTTGACGCCCTTCTCTGTTTTAACTATCAAACTTATATTCTATGGGTGACATTTTCATCAGTTTCACCATCATTTTGTATAATCAATGTTAGATACCTAAACTTTGTTACTTATGATATAATCTAATATCTAATCTTCACTTCCAAATCATTTTTAACTCGTCTGTTATGGAACTTGCTATGTACATATTCTAACTTACTCCTACTTGGTTAGATTTTTTTTATTTCAAAATCCTTCTCCATAATATATTGTATTGCTTATTGAATATTATTAAGTATACATGTATGATTTCTATTGTCAAAAAAATTTTTAAAATTAAAATTAGTTAAATTCTATTTAAAATCAATTATATTATAAAATATATTAAATGGATCAGTTATGTTATCCATTAAGAGTAAAGTGT